CTCTCTCTCTCTCTCTCTCTCTCTCTCTCTCTCTCTCTCTCTCTCTCTCTCTCTCTCTCTCTCTCTCTCTCTCTCTCTCTTTCTCTCTCTGTATGCGTAGTCTCGCCCGCTCTCTCTTCCACTCTTGCCCTGTGAGATGATTTCCCTCTCTCTCCTGTGGAGATGTATGGCCACAAGTCGACTCAAATACAGAGAATTAAGGAAATCAATGCAATTTTAATTACAGCTATGGTTCTCTGCACCAGCAGTATTAGCCAAATGACTTCATGAGTGGGATAGCTGTTTTCAGTRCCAGTGCCAGCAGTATTAGTCAAATGGCCTYCCAAGTGGGATATCTGTTTTMAAAGTCAGCGCCRATAGTTGTTCTCTACGCCAGCATGATCASCCAAATGGCTTCACAAGTGGGATCGCTAATTTCACAGCCAGCGCCAATAGCTGTTCTTTACACCAGCATGATCAGCCAAATGGCTTCATAAGTGGGATGGCTATTTTCGCAGCCTGCGCCAATAGTTGTTCTCCGCGCCAGTGACTTTCCCAGCGGAATRGCTGTTTTCGTGACCGTCACCAATGACTGTTCTCTGCCCCAGCAGCATAGGCAAACGGTTCTTTCACATCAGACACTCAGACGCCTCTCGCCTCTTTTGTTTTTCGCTCTCGCAGAGGGAACTTAGAACGTGTACACTCCCCCGCTTGTCTGCCCGATCCCAGGCGGCGTTTATGAGTGTTATCTGCGCCCGTCGCGTAATGATAATAATTATGACTAGTGTCATTGATTTACTGTTTGGGGGCAGTTCGAACGACATTTGCTTGCATTCTCACCATCAACACAGTCAGGATCCGAAGACCAAACCTGAGAGTGATTTAAACTTATTTTCTTCGCTCGATGTGGACCGTCGTGTCATCACCATGCCTCTGCTCACTTCCTCCCCCTTCCCATGGAGCCAAAGGTCACTAGTTTGGGTTTGACCCCAAGGTGGCTGCACCGGCCTGGACCCACATCATCTGTGGAATGGCCAAGCCCTTCTTCAGCGAGAGTGGTTATTCTCCTCAACAACGAAGAAGACCGCAGTGGAAGTAGCTGCGTCCATCATCAGTAGTGTGCATTGGATCTTCTCCCTATGTCTCCGATTTTCCTCCCTTTATTGTCAAAGTCACTGTCTTCACCTCTCTCTCATGAATATCGCCATCTCCGTATGCCTCAATATTCACCCGTGAGCTTGGGATGACCGCAACCCCTTTTTCGGCGCCTCATGTTCAACAGACCCGTTCGATGTTGTCCCTCCGGTCATCGCCCCTGCTGTGACAACGGTCACCTTGGTCACTCCGACCAGCTGTGCAGTCCCCCTCTCTCTCTCTCCCTCTCACACGCTGTCTCCCACTCCCGCTGTGCCTGCTACGTGGGCGGGGGACGCCTTGCATGCTGCCCCCCTCCCCGTTGACCTGCCCGCCTCCTATGTTATGGGCCAGGTACACCTTGCAT